AGAGACGGGGTTTCACCATGTTGACCAGGATGGTCTCGATCTCTTGACCTCGTGATCCACCCGCCTCGGCCTCCCAAAGTGCTGGGATTACAGGCTTGAGCCACCGTGCCCAGCCTGTGAGTTTACATCATTTGTATAGTGATAGAGCAGATCAATGCATTTTACCAACAACTCAAATGAACACAACCCGTTAATTAGAACAAACACATTGTCTTATATGTTCTTAGTTGTTGAATATTACATATTAAGAAGTTTGGGCTGGGCACAGTGGCTCATGCCTGTAATCCCAGCACTTTGGGAATCACAGGCAGGTAGGTCATCTGAGGTCAGGAGTTTGAGACCAGCCTGAACAACATGGTAAAACCCCGTCTCTACTAAAAATACAAAAATTAGGTGGCCATGTCACCGGTGCCTGTAATCCCAGCTACTCAGAGGGCTGAGGGAGGAGAATTGCTTGAACCAGTGAGGTGGAGGTTGCAGTGAGCCAAGATCCCATCACTGCACTCCAGCCTGGGCGATAGAGTGAGACTCCATTTAAAAAAAAAAAGAAAACTTTGCATTAGACATTGAATGAATATGCTAGAATTTTCTTGTATTAGAAAATAGTTGAGAGGGAACTTGTGATTGTCTAAGAAAGTTTATTGTTTTCTTCTGTAGTATTTTTATGCAGAACAAAATCCATATCAATTAAAACTTTAATAAGTGATTTTCCAACCTAGATGATCACTTTATTCCTTGTGCTGGAATAAACTGTCTCTTCCCTCTTCCTTCCTTTCTCCTCTGAAGGCTTTAGGAAGTTATTGATTAATACATGTCCCTAGAGCACCCAAGTTGTGTGGAAAAAAGACTTATGACTTGAGGAGAATGGCAAGGGTTTTCACCATGATCTTCCTAAAGAATCTTACCTAATTCCTCTACCTCCTTCCCCTGTTGGTTTTTTATTATAATTCTTCCCACTTTCAGAAGAGGGAATGGCTTTTCCTCCTCCCCAGTGACAACACTTTTATGTAAACTTGGGAGTCAATTCCTTTCCAGATTGTTTCTTTAAATGTATACTTATCATCTTTATTCTTTAAAGTATTGTTCATTTATCCAAAATATATTTATTGAGTACCTATTCTCTGCCAAGGACTATAGGAGCCTTTGGGGAAATAATGGTCTAAATAAGGTTCTTTCTCTGTGGAAACACATTCTTGTGGGAGAAATACAAAATACGTATGGAAAGAAAATTATATGTATATGTATGTGCATGTATATACATACGTATGCATTTATTTAATAATTATCAATATAACAATAACAGGTAGTGATAAGTAGTACAAATAAAGGTAAAGAAAGGTAGGCAGGTAAAGAATAATGAGGAGTTGGATGGCCTGTTCTAGATTTTGGAAAAGCCTCTCCGAAGAGGTAATATTTGAACAAAGACCTGACTAAAAAGTAAGGGCGTGAGTCAAGCCAGTATCTGGGAAAGCAGTGTAAAGGCCTCGGGATGGGTATTAACTTCGTAGGAGGAACAGATAAACATGTATCTAGAGAAAAGTACTAGGATAATAAGAAAGACAGTGACATAGAATAAAAAAGACTGAAATTTTATTCTCTAAGGTGGTGCCTCCTGACTCCCCATCTGAAGCAAATGCAAATCTCCAGAGGAAAGTAAGAGGCCTTTAGAATTCTCACAAGTTAAGATCAACAAAAGGTGAGCTCACAAAGATCATCAACTTCACAGGGAAATAGGTCACAGCTGAGTGATAGATAATCTGAAGAAATAACATATTACATGGCAAAAATCTTTACATATTAGAATGGTTAGATATAGCTATAAACTGTTGGTGCTGGTTTAAAGAAATAAAGAAATTAAACTGCAAGATTGATGACTAATAGATTTTCATAAAGGGACAGATTTGAAAGAAAAATAATTTCTAAAAGTTCTATTTAGTTCTTTTTAAAAATGATAATTGAAAAATTGATAAATTTGGCTGCATGAAAATTATTCTTTATCAAAAGACATTATAAAGACAGTAAAAGACAAGCCATGAATTGGGCAGAGATACTTGCAATGCATATAGACAACAATGAAATTAGTAGTTAGTATCAGAATATAAAAAGCTTCTATAGATTGATAAGAATAAGATAAATAACAGTATTGAAAAATTCCATAAAAGATATCTGTTGGCAGTTCAAAGGAAAAAATGCAAATTAGGCTGGGCACAGTGGTTCACGCCTGTAACCCCAGCATTTTGGAAGGCCGAGGTGGGCGGATTACTTGAGGCCAGGAGTTCGAAACCAGACTGGCCAACATGGTGAAACCCCATCTCTACTAAAAATACAAAAATTAGCTGGGTATGGTGGCAGGTGCCTGTAATCCCAGTTACTCAGAAGGCTGAGGCAGGAGAATTGCTTGAACCCAGGAGGTGGAGGTTGCAGTGTGCCAAGATCGAGCCATTGCACTCCAGCCTGGGCGACAGAGGGAAACTTTCTCAAAAAAAAAGCAAAACCACAATGATAGAATTATTTCACATGCTGTAAATTGGCAAAAATTAAGATGTTTTACAGTACCAGGCATTCTCAAGATTTAGAGGCAGAAGTGCACTATATCTTGATATTTGCAATAGCCAAAAAGTGGGAACCACTCAAATGTCCATCAACTAATGAATGGATAAAATTTGGTATATTCTTACAATGAAATACTATTCAGCAATAAAAAGGAATGAAGTTCTGATACATGCTTTAACATGGATGCACCTTGGAAACATGCTATAAAGAAATACCTGAGGCTGGGTAATTTATAATGAAAAGAAATTTACTTGGCTCATGCTCCTGGAAGCTCTATAAGCATAGCACTAGCATCTGCTTGGCTTTTGGTGAGGCCCAGGAAGCTTTTAGTCATGGTGGCAGGGAAGGGGAGCCAGTGTATCACATGGCAAGAGAAAGGGGAGGATCTTCCAGACCCTTTTAAACAACCCAGTCTCGTGTGAACTCATAGCTTAAGAACTCACTCTTTACCACAAAGATGGCACCAAGCCATTCATGAGGGATCCACCTGCATGATCCACATACCTCCCACCAGGCCCCACGTCTGACACTGGGGATTACACTTGACATTAGATTCCATCAGCATGAGATGCAGAGGGGACAAATATCCAAACATATCCCATGCCAAGTCAAAGAAGCCAAATACAAACATCACGTATTATATGATTGCATTCATATGACATGTCCTCAATAGGCAAATCCACAGAGACTAAAGTAAGTGTTTCCAGATGCTGGGGAATTGTGGGAAAATAAAGAATGGTGGTGAATGTGTACTAACAGAAAGTAGATTACTGGTTACCCAGCACTGGGTATAGGAAAGAGGTAGAGGGGATGGAGAATGGGGAGTGGGGAAATGAGAAGTGACTGCTAATGAGCACACAGGATTTCTTTTGGGGGTAAAAAAAATGTTAAAAAATTAGATTGTGGTCATTGTTATACAACTCAATGAGTATACTAAAACCATTGTGCAGAAATAATATGGAAATGGTTTCCAAACTTGTTTGTACTTTAGAAACCGTTACTGTCTTTTAAAAAAAGTCCACAGCTCAGGCCATACCCCAGACCAATTAAATAATCATCTCTGGGCATGGTACACAAGTATCATTATTTTTTGAAATTCTCTAGGTTTTTCAAATATTTAGACATGTTTGGTAACCACTGCACTGTGGTATTAACTGAGAACTTTTTAAAAAATTGAATGTTCACTTTATTTATTAGCAATATACTTGGATTTATTTGTCCCCTATTTTATGCTTTTTGTTTCTTCTCTTTAACTTACGGGCTTAAAAAATTTCACCCTCCTTAATCAGGGTGGATACAATCTTGTTTTATTTTTTGCAACTCCATTTTCCCCCTTGTTTAGTTTGGAAAACATACAGTATTTATTTATTTTTTAAAGTTATCTTTAAATTTTTATCATGTGTACCTAATTATTTTAATGCCAGTGATATTTTATAGTTTTTATTCATTGTAATTATGTCTGAAGAATTATATATTTAATGGATATTATATATTTTGATGGATACTAAAATGTATTTATTCAGTCCACATACAATATTTGGTTTGCATATTGCTTTGCAATAAACTTGCTCTATCTCCACCCCTAGGATTTCAAGGCCAACAAGTTGAAAAACACAAATATAAGGGATAGTATCTACTGCGAAATAAATTGGTAACCATTGTGGCAATTAGTTGAGGTTATAAGGAGAGATAAGAAATTGACATTTCTGTGTCAAATATATATTTTGTTGTCACAGAATTCTTATCAGAAGTATACAAGCCATGCATACCTATTTTATACTTTATCAATAATGGCTCTTATCACTTAGAAATATCTTTGTTAATTTGTAGATGGAAAACAGAAGAACATTTCTGCCATTGCTTGTGAATTTAAACATTTTGGGGGTATTTCTGCCTGT